CGGCACCTTGAGCTGAGCGGCCGTGAGCTGCCAATGGCCGACTGGATGGAGGCGATGTGGAGCTGAGCTAGCTGTGCTCTCCACAACTAAGATTGAAGGACAACTTGGCTGTTCCCCTTCCCCAATTCCCCAATAAAAACAAAAAATCAACTAGGAACCAAATGGGAATTAGAGTTTTGAGTTAGTGTCCAACTCACAGAGGGAAACTATCTTGAGAAGTGCTTGAAGACCCTTTAAAATATCCCTCTGTTCTTTCCACAAAACGGAAGGGTAACTAGGCCAGAGCCTGGGAAGCAGCAGCAAACGAATGCAGAAAAGAGCTTGCTTTTCAGGCAAGCAATATTCTGCAGAGGGTGTCATGATGCTTTTCCAGAGTTCTGAGGCACAAGGTAGAAACAGGATTAAGCCAGGGTTTCAACGGTAGCTAATATTTTACTTTGGTGGTGGTGGGGATATTGTTTAGTTTTTAAGAAAAAAAGATCTGTAGTAAGGCAAATGTTAAGATGACAAGCAAGCTTGAGTAGTAGGTACATCGGGTGTTTGTGATTTTATTATCTGTTGCTGCATAGCAAATCGCCCCAAAACTTCATGGCTTAAAACAATATATGTACGACCTCACGCAGTTTCTGAGGGTCAGGAATTCAGGAGTAGCTTGGCTGATGGTTCTGTCTTGGGGTTTCTCATAAGGTTGCAGTCATCTGATGCTTGACCAGGGCTGGAGGATTCACTTACAAGGTGTTTCACATGCCTGGCAAGTTAGTGCTGGTTGTTTGCTGGTGACCTTAGTCCAATTCACATTTACCTCTCCATAGGGCTGTTTGTCCTTATGACATGGCAGCAGGCTTACCCCAGAGTAAGTGATCCAAGAGAAGGCAAGTTGGAAACTGCAGTGTCTTAATGACATATCCTCAGAAGTCACATTGTCATTTTAATATCCTATGTGTTACATGTCAGTCCTATTCATTGTGGGAGGAAACTAAGAAGAAGCAAGAATCAGTGGGAGCTACATCCAAAACCCTGTGGTCTCATGTTTATATTGAGTAAAACACCATAGTTAGAGCCTTCTGTTTTGTGTATGCTTGAAATAGTTCATTTTTTGAAAAAGGGGGAAACCTATAGTTTAGAGAGAAAAGGTTTCTCATTTTTTACAGTTCAAATTTGAATTTCAGTATTTTTTATTGCCTTTTAAAATTTCTTTTAGAATAGACACCTACCTGTACTCCTGAACTATCCTATCCCCTTTATTCACTAATTTGGTTATCCAACTTACTGCTGATAATTCAGTATTTCCCTCTGTACCCCTGTTCTCAATCATCTTATATGTCAAGACAATGACTAGTAGTTGACAAGTAGTCAAAGCCTTTAATGATGAGATACCCAATGTGAGACATGGTAAGGGTGTAGTTTGTAAGCTATAATGAAATGCTAAGGCACCCAGGAAATGTCACCAAGCATTCCTTTAGGGGGGCACTGGGGTCTTATCTATATCTCTGCCCCAGCAGCAAGCACAGTGCCTGGTAATGCTTTTGGTTTACAGGATGCTCCAAGGGATGTAAAAACAAATAATGATTATTTCCCTCTTAGACTACTTTTTTTTTTTTTTTTCTTTTTCAGCTGAGCCATCCTGCCGCCTGTTGGCAGCTCAGCGACAGCTCAGCTCGGGCCAGGCATCGAATCACTGTTGCTAGACTACATTCTTTATTGTTCTATTCAATATAAATGTTTAACCTTAGGGTTTTGTAAAACGTATTCACCCTCTTTCCAGACCCAGGTCTCTTTAAGCACCTCCTGAGAAGGTGAGTCTCAGGGTGGAGAGGCCTAGGGAACAGAGAGACACTTGACCTCTTGTTGTCACTAGTCAGACTCTCTTACTCTGGGCCTATTTTCCCTTTTGAACTATGGATTTCCATCCTGCCTTTCTCAGAGCAGGGTGGTGAATAAAGGCAATCAAGTCTGGAAGGACATGTAAGCTTAGAGATGTGTGTCCAAGCTTGGGAGATGAGGGGCAGGGCACCCCAGGATGTGATAGCTCTGCTCAGTGGGACCCCAGAGCCACTGCCAAGAAAGAATGAGCCATTTACTCAGAAAAAAAATAGAAATAAGTAAAACCCCAAGGGGGATTTACTTAGACATGGGCGAGAATGATAATAATAATTAACTTTAACTACATCAACACCTTCAATTTACTATTGACCCACTTTATTTTAATACCAGAATGCTTAAATGTCTTCACAACCCAGCATTCTTGACCACCTTTAGGTGACCTTAAAATGGGAGAAGCCCAGTGCCCCATTTTTTACAGATGATAGATTTAATTGGCAGGGAAGAAGGGAAGTGATACTACAGCCCAGTGTCCTGCCTTGTAGGACCAGGAGCCTTAAATATTGCCTTCCTCAAGATCTGAGCCAATAGGGGTCTTTCAGCTCTATGAGGGATCAGGGCTGTGATTTAGGGGCATGCTCAATTTAAGAGGCTTAAGGGAGAGAGGAGAGAGGTGCCATTTTCCCCTCCCAATCCCATCAACTTCCTGGCAAATTCCTTAATGCCCTGCAGATGGCACCACTGACAAGGAGTTCTCTGCCCAGAAGTGCTGAGCTCAGATTTGTAAACTGCCCTGCCTGTCACCTTGGAACTGAGCCTAAGATACACAACAAACAGGAAATGACTGACCTGGCACCCCTGGCATTCACATGCTTGTCACTTTTTGTTCTGTCCATTCCAGGAGGCAGCAAGGCCTCATGTTAGGCTATTGTGAATCACAGCCACAGGGAACCCCACACCCAAGGAGCTCTTGACCTCAGCTCCTGTCTCTAGGGAGCTTCCCAGGGTGGGATGGATATACCAGGGGTGCCAAAAAAATGTATACACATGACTTGTTTTCATCTTTTGTTATTGGTATATATTGAGTATTATAAGTTTAATACAGTTTTTTCCTTTCTTAAAATAGGTATACATTTTTTTGCAGCCTCTGTATAAACACGGCCTTGGAGGTCAACATGCAGTAGTGGAGGATCAGGTTGTCAGATTAATCTGAACTCAATATTGATACAAAGTCAATAACCACTTGATGATGTGGACATAATTATGTATTAGATGTCATTGTGATTCAAGGGCCAGCTTTTTCCTCTCTGTCATCTGGTCCATAAACTGAAATCAATGCCCTACCCTACCCATCCCTCAACTGACCAACCCACCTCCCAACTGACAGCCTGCTGTATGTTATTGTGTCCAGCTGTGATGAAATCTAGCTCATCACCTCAGTCCTGCCTGGGGCTTTCAAACACTATTCTCTTTGCCTGTATGTAACACCTTTTCCAACCATAACTGATCCCACCCCCTTTGCCCAGTTAACTCATACTCTTCCTTCATTGATGAAAACCCAAGTGTCACCTCTTCAAGGACTTGAAGACTAGATCAGATTTTCTATTATATATCTTTATAGAACCTTCTACTTTTCTCTCAAAGCATTTATCGTATTTTGGATTTATTTATTTTTATTTATTTGATTATTTAATGAATATATTTGCCCCACCAGATTTTATAAGCTTCATGTCTATTATGCTTATCATATACTAGCTTGGTGCTGAGTACATGACTAACACTTAATTTTTCAAGAATTCATTTTGGGGAGGAGCAGAGATTCAAACTTTTAACTCTGAAAGCTAGCAAAGACTGCCCCTCCACTGCCTTTCCTTTCCTCCTATTTCCCAGGTCCAAAGACCTAAGATGCCTCAGGAAGACACTACAGGGTGGACAATTATATCAAATAGAGGTAGGAAGTAAAGTTGCTGCCCTGTTCTAAAGATTCTTCATAAATCAGAAGAAATCTCTCAGCCTCTCTCTGTCTCAACTCTAGTATCTCATGATCCTAACATGTAGGAACTTCTGCTGGCTCACACTGACCAAATGAATGTATGCCATGAGATAGGTGTGACCCAGCTACCAGAACAGGCTGATGTCACCTTAGACATTCCTTTTATACAACAGTGTGCAAAGCTAGGTAGATAAGTGTTCTCACCATCCTCTTCACTGGTTACCCTACTATGCAAATTATTATCCAGTTCTGTTGTACCTCAAGAAGGATATGGACAGGCAAGAGAGTTTCCTCCAGAGTAGGTAAGTAAGTGGTCCTGGATAGAGCAACTCAGAGAACTGAGGTTGTTTAGATTAGAAGAAAGAATCCCAATGAAGAGCTCCTGTCCAGAAATGGCAACAGAATCATTCCTCAAATGGAAGACTCATGTCCTGAGGGCACAGCAAAGGATGGGGAAGAACACTGCAGCTCACTTTCTAATAATTAGCTAGGACCCACAATGGACCACTATGGCATCCATGTTATGAAGGGCAAACACATAGAACTGAAGACTTCTAATATCCCTCTCCATTCCCAGCATCTAGGATTTCACAAATTGTCCTGCTGTCTCAGGCCAAACTTTCATTATGACTACCTTCTCAAATATTTTTGGAGAGGTCAGAGATAGGTGGGACAAAGGAACAGAATCTCTCAAAGAATGTTTCTTAAACCCTTCCCCCACCCCTGCCAACAACAACAACAACAACAACAACAACACAAAGTTCTCAGATCCAGGGATACCTTGCCTAATGGGAACCTCTGGTTTCCTTAGTACCTAGACAAGTGGGCAATTCCAAAGTTGCGGGTCCATTTTAGAAATTGGTCCAAATTTCATTAGAGAGAAAGAAAAAGGTTTACAGCCTGTCTTAGTTTGGGCTGCTATAACAAAATGCCATAGACTAGATGGCTTAAACAACAAACATTTATTTCTCATAGTTCTGAAGGCTGGGAAAATCCAAGATCAAGGTGCTGGCAGATTCAGTGACTGGTGAGAGCCCTCTTCTTGGCTTGCAGATGGCCCATCACCTTCTTGATGTGTCCTCGTGTAGCTGAGAAAAAGAAAGCTCTAGTCTCTTTTTCTGCTTCTAAGAACATTAATGTACCTCATGACCTCATCTAAACCTAATTACTTCTCAAAGGCCCCACCTCCTAATATCATCACATATAAATTTTGGGGCAACACAAACATTCAGTCCATAGTACAGCCTGTAGTAGTTTCACCTTACAGTTGGATGGATTCTTCCTGAAGATCCAGAATGTCCTGAGAACAAAACCGCCCTGAAGCTACAAGACTTAGAATGAGCAGGAATTTTTCCATACTTATGTTTTCCATGGGAAAATTAGGATATGTATAACAGGTAAGCAAAGAGAAAATGAAGATAACCCATCATCTGAATGGAAAGTTTCTGAAATCTTTAAGAAAAGGGCAACTTTTCCACCCCTCTCCCGCCCCAGTCACCTCTGGGAGTGGGTGCCCTGGGTCTTCTGTCTGCTCCTCTCAAAGTGCTATTCAGCAGTAAGTCTCCATCACTTGAAATCTCAAAGGTGGCCTCACAGGAAGAAGCAGAAAAATGAACCCTTTAGATACAGATGGAGGGTGCCAGGGCTCCTGAGGATACTGAAATTTATGTTTTAGCTTTCTATTACACTGAGTATCTAAGCAGTTTAGTAGTGAGAACACAGAAGTGGGGAGATATATCCACTAAGAGGCAGAATATTGGGTAAAAGAGAAGCTTCTGAGTCTGAAAGGCCAAGTTCAAATCCCAGCTCCACCACTTACTATTGTAGGCCCTTGCACAACATTACTTAATCTCTTTGAACTGATTCCTCATCTATTTTTTTTTAAAGATTTTTATTGGGGAATTGGGGGGATGGGAACAGTGCTGGGGAATTGGGGAAAGGGGAACAGACAAGTTGCTGTCGTTTTGTTCTTCAGTCTAGTTGTGGAGGATGTTGCTTCACTGGCCCAAGTTGGCACCATCATTGCGCTCTTCTCTGGCGAGGCAGATCAGTCGCCGGCTTCTGGACGGCCGCTCACTGCGGCTGCTGGCCGCTCATGCTGGCTGCTGGCTACACACGGTAGCCCATGGCAACCCACTGCCAAAGGGGCTGCAGCCCACGCCGTCGCCGGCGACTCCCGGCAGCCCAGCTCCAGGTTGAGCTGTTGTTCAGCATCTTAGCTGTAGAGGGCAGTGTCACTGGCCCTCATATGTGGGATCCGAACCGGGGCCCTCTGGCGTCCCAAGCGAGTTCTTAACCATCGCGCCACTCGGCCAGCCCTCCTCATCTATTTTTTAAAATCTACTTTGTAAGGTCCTTGTGACATTGAATAAACTAATCTATATAAAGTACCTGTTAATATTTAGCACTTAAGTGTTGCTCAATCTGGATCATTCCCTTCTCTGTGTTGCTTGAAGATGTTGAAATTTACTCCACAGTCAAGGTGGCCTCTTCCCTATTAAGAATGGGTAACTAATCTCCTGGGCAGAGATCAAATCCATGAACATTGAGTGTTTACTGTGAGAACTGCCCTGGCTTAAGTATTGGGGTTGAAAGAAAAGAAGTTAATTAGAAGCCAAATATGGTTTCTAGCTCTCTAAGAGGAGGGGAAAGGAAAAAAGACATAAATGGAGGTTAAGTTAAATAATACAAAAAATTTAAATAACAGCTCAAGATAATGTTATGAGACAGTGCATATATGCCTAATTGTTCATTGCTCACTGAACTATACAGCTGGATGTTGCTTTGAGAATTTAGAAAAGGTGGAAATACCTTCAGGAAAGAAGAAAATACATTATTTGGGTTGAGCCTTGGAAGTAGATAGGATTTGGATAAAAGGAGATTTGGTAACTTTTTAAAAAGGATGTGTTGTGTCTTTTTGCATAGTGTTCTGAGTGGTAATTCAGCAAACACAAACTTTCACCAATTCTAAACACAGACACTGGAAAGAAAGCTACCAGCTTTCAATGAATTTGTAAACAAGGGCTCAAGGACTTGTGAGCAAATAAATCAGATTGCTGCTGGGCTCAAAACTCCTTTCTCTAGGAAGTCTAGAGGCTTTCTCTGTTCTGAGCTTGAGCTTATCTTATACTATTATGCAGTTTTAAGTTCATTTGTTTATAGATATTTTGCCTTTTAAAGTTCACTTCAGTTGTACACATCGGTACATTCTGGATGATGCTAAGTCTCTAAGCAGAATCTATGTTTACCAGTTGTTGTAAGAATCAGATGTAATAGTCTGTGACTCGAATAATGTCACAGCGTTTTGTGAACCGCAAAGGACCATGAACACTAGATTCATAGATTTGGAAGCAATCTGAAGGGTCTTCTAGTTTTGCAAATGAGATCAAGTGTAGCCCAGGATGACAATTCTAGAACCAGAACCCAGCTCTCCTGATTATCAGCAATGCCTGCCATCTTTTCTCACTACGTTTGTAAATATTGGGCTGTCGGAAAAGTCATGACTTTTTTTTTTTTTTTTTAGCTGAGCCATCCCGCCACCTGTTGGCAGCTCACGGCTGCTCAGCTCGGGCTGACTCGAACCGCTGTTGCTCAGAGCTCAAACTCTTGAGCGAGCTCTTAACCAACTGAGCCACTCAGCCGGCCCTATGACGTATTTTTTTTTATGTTTTTCATTGCAAAAATGCGTCATGACTTTTCCGACAACCCAATATTTGAGTGCCTACATGTATTAGGCACCAGGTTAAGGCCTAAGGAAATAACCATGTTCAAGATGTGGATGAAAAAGGGGTTCTACGGAAAGTAACCTCACAAGGTGATCTGATAAATTCCTAAATGGGCAGATCATAGTGGGTAGTCACTGTCCCAGGCTTAACACACCTTTGAAATAAATTTAACCATTCTGAAGAAAGCACATTATCTTGTTAACTACCTGTAATCCGATTTCCTGCCTTGTTACTCCCACCCTCATGTGATCTTCCATACATTCCCTGTTAGGTTCAAATGCATAAAAGAAACTGAAACTGTCATCAGTTTTGGTTCAAATAAACTCATAAAAATTCTCTACAGATTTGGGTGTTCTTACATCACACAGACAAATATGATTCTTTTCCTTTAGGAGCCAAACAAATAAATGCAAACAAATTAAGGCAAGTTGTAATAAATAATACGACAAAAATAGATTGCTTTAGCTAAGGTAGTGGGGGGAAGACTGCTGTAGCAGATAACATTTAAACTTAAATCTGAAGGAAACAGGAGCTAGCCAAAAGTGAATTGGGAAGGAGGAGGGGGAAGGGGAGAGCTCTTCCAAGCAGAGGAAACAGCAAATGCAGAGTTCTAAGAAAGGAAAGAGCTTGGCAGGGTCCACCAGGAACTGACCAAAGGCCAGGATGAAGATGGTGCCTGGTTGAAGCAGTAGAGAGGGGATAGCTCGCAGGTCACAAACTCAAATGCACAGCTGGGCTGGCAATGTAAATGGAAAAACTGGTGGGATGTAAGTGCTCACCCAAACGATGAGGGCTGTGGAAAACTGCAGCACATCCTGCTCCATCTACAGAGCCATAGGTCCTTTTGCTCAGCTCAGCCAGATCTTCTATTTAAGAGACAGAAATCTGAATTTTTCAGGTGTCATCTCCTAATTTTTAAGTGTTTGTTCAAATTTGTTAAAAGCACTGTGAGCCAAACAAAACAGCATGCCTAATGTAGCCCAAAGTTCACCATTTTGCAACCTCTGAAAGCCTTGTAGGCTTACTTTAAGGCAGGTGAATTTTTAATTGCAAATGGATCACTTTTGAAATCAAGGTTTTGAGCAGGGGTAAGATCTGATTTGTGTTTTAATAAGATCATTAAAGCACAGAGGCATGAAATTAAGATCTGAGAAGTGTTAAGCACCAAAGCCACCTCTCCCTGACAATCTGTAAATTCCTCCAGGGCAGGGCTTTGACCCATTCCTGTTTATCCTTTACAACACACTCAGTAGACCCAAGCCACCTCCCCTTCCTCTCCTTTCCTTGTAGCACTGCCAAGACCACAGCCAGCTGTCATCTCTTTGTAACTGTGTCTACCCACTGTCCCTGTTGGAGTTGTTTACTTCAAGCTTGGTTGCTAAGTAGGAAATCAGCTTTTTAGATTATCTCATTATCTAGCTATCACCAAAGACAGGTATGTATATATGTATTTATACAAAATATATGCTTTTTATTTCCCAAGGTTCTATTGCAAATCACTGGGGAAACATAAAAGAGATAAAAATAACGTCCCAAGGAGTTACAAGAGTACAGAATTCAGTTGTTAATTCTGGCTCCTGACTTGCTCAGATAGTAACTGGATGCAGTCTAAGGCCTCCAGAATTGGTTTCTTAAGCTTCATTGGGGGCCTTTGTAAAACTGAGACCTTCCTTTGAGTTTATCTGCATTGCTCCTTTCAATTTAGAGAAAGGATTCAACTTCATGAAGGTGGGGCTTTTCAAACAGTACTTACATCAAGGTCACAGGTCGGTAACTTGCATTCCTTGATTTTGTGACCTTGGGCACATGACAACCTCTCACCTTTTTCTAATCTCTAAAATGCTAATCACAACAGCGTTCCTCTGAACGTGGTCATGATATTCAAATGAGATAAAGTCTATATAAAGTGAATGGCACACAGGTCAGCTAATATTTGATTCAGCCCCACTCAGCAATGATCCCCTGTGGGCATTTCCTCACAAACCTTCAGAAGTTCTATTTCTGTAGTTCTCTATTCAGTTTTCTTTAGTAGTATTTGCTCTAGCACACATATGGCCATCCACAAAAGTGGCTGAGTGAAAACTACTGGCCGCGGCCCTCACTCAAACATAAAACACACTTTCAGAAAATGCTGCTACAGGCTTCGGGTTCCTGGGCAGCGGTACCTTTCAGAACCCCCATTGAGCGCTCACATCCTGACTGGCCTGCTCCAAACGGTTCATTTAAACACGACCAAACTAAAATTTCGGTCGCTATTAAAATGCAAGAATCCTCACTTACCAGTGGGTGGTGAGGGAGACAGTTGGCTAGTTTTAGAATGAGCACCGATTGGCCTCAAAAGTCCCTCCCCCTTCCACGGGACAAGCCTATCAGCATTCCTCTAGCGATGAGCGGCAGCTCTCTAGGAGCCAATGAGTCCCGTTCTCTGATAGGAACCCGCCAATCCCTTGTGTCGTCACTCGGTCTCCTGTAAAATAGAACCAGGACCTACGCTTCCTCGTAGCGAGCCTGGTGGCGGCTGTTTGCGTTGAAACGTGACCGTGGACCGACCTTAAAGGGGAGGGAGCAGAACTGGGCAGGGACCCCTTAAAGCGGGGCGCACTGGTGCCTGCCCCTTTAAGGGCGGGGCGTCCGCACAACTGAATCTGAACCTCAGATTACCCCGAGTTTCCGTCGCAGGCTGCGAGGAAAGGCTGGCTGTTCAGCAGGGTCCGGGTGCTTGGCGGCGGCGGCTTCATCCCCGCTCGTCCTCCCCGGGCCCGGAGACACCCCCGCCCCAGTCATGCTGAGCAGAGTATGGAAGCAGCTGACTACGAAGTGCTATCCGTGCGACAGCAGCTATTCCACGAGAAGGTCCGCGAGTGCATTGTGAGTGCGGGACTGGGCTGGAAGGGTAGGACCAAAGGGGGTTGAAGCACAGGTGTCGCGGCAGAGGGAGAAGTTCGGGTCGGAGTGTGACCACCTGGCCTCAGCGCCGTAAGATCCTGCCTGGACCAGGGGTGAGTGACGAGGGGCCCCACCCGACCGAAGGACTGGCGCCTCAGCTGGCTAACCCCTAGATCGGATCAGCTGGGTAGCTGCGGGATAAACAAAGCCGGTTGGTTTCTGTTCCTCCCCTCTACACGTCCCTCCGCCCGCCCTCCCCCCTGTCCCCCACCCTCACCGGTGTTCTGGGCGTGAGTCCTCTGTGTCAGAGAGTCCGCCCATCTTAGTCGGATAGTCCGAGAAGGATGGGCTTGATTTGAATTTACTCCCCAAACCCCACTGATGTTTGTTAAAGGGGAGTTGAACAGGGGACTTTTGTGGGTCTCCCACTTTGGAAGAAGGGACTCTTGCTGGGGTGGAGTCTAGTATGTAGAGATGGAGAACAACTAAGGTTTCCCCTTTTCTCCTTCCCACCACCCCCCTTATGGGTGTTTGTTAGAAACCCTGCAAGCCCAAGTTCCTATTCAGGGATTTCCCCTGTGAGTGGTTCCCCAAAGTGATCCAGAGGGCACCTGCCTGCCTTCCTGCTCCCTCACTGACACCTAGAACTGCTGAACCTGCTGCAGCAAATGAACTCTTCACTTCTGGGCTGGGGGGCACCCAGTGGCGCTTAGGAAGTTGAATCTTCTTCAGGCCTGCTTTGAACTGTCATCTCTCTTCTTTCTCCTCTGGCTTCCTTGGAGCTCCCCAGGGTAGCACTCACCCCCATAATGCTAAATGGAAGGAAAAGAGAAAGGTTTGGAAGAATAAAAGTGTTAGTGAGTGGGGTCATCTTTCATTTTTCTCAGGCTGGGCTCTGGGCAGCCTCAGATTGGAGGATTGGAGAAGGGGTAAAGTAAACCACGACTTAACTAGGTTTGCCCTTATCTGTGAGGACTGAAAAGTAGGGAGTATATCAGTCCATGTGTGGAATGCCATCTCTGCTTTCAGGAAGCCTTCCTTGTGTCTCTTAATGGATAGTCCCACATGAGGGGGTTGGGTGTAGTGTGGAGGCTCACCCAAGCCTTGAGACTGTGTAGGGCCAGAGGCCCACATTCCTAGAGAACAGGGAGGAATGAGACCTTGGACAGAGAAGCAGCCTCCTGGGTGGCTCCCCCTTCCTTTAGTCCAATTAGCTCAGGACATCAGTGCTGGCCAAGGGCAGCCTGAAGGCTTTTGGTACCTCCTCCACCTGGCTCCCATCCCTTGCTTTAGAGAATGACCTAGCTTCTGCTGGAACTGCGTGGAACTCCAGCCTGACCTTTTGAGCCCTCCCACCTTCCTGGCTATTGCGCAAGCACAGGGCAGAGCAAAAGGCTGTAAAAATCCTGCAGTTACAATCTGAGTGGCTCATCCTTCTCTGCTTCCCTAATGTCAAAAACTACAACTTTATCCTAGACCTATGGCTCTCTTAGGGTCTCTATAACTTCTTCTCTCTTTGTATAGGTAGTTGTATGCAGATTTCCTGTGGGGTCAGCTCTTCTTGGTGATTGGAGGACCCACGAGATTGATCCTGCCTTCTTGGCTTACTTCAAATGCAATAATGTCTCTTCTCAAGACTCCCTGATTGTGGAGCCAAGTTGAGCAGTGTCTTCTCCCCTAACCAATAGCAGCTTACTTGGGGTAGGGTAGGGATGCATGCATGTTCAGAGTAACTGGCCAATTTTTCCTTTAACTGTCAATTGGAGGTCCAGTCACCCAGGAGCATGTGTCAGTCCCTGAGAGGCCTGGTCCTAGAGTTGGAAGTCACTTGAAGTAGGGACCAGAGATTGACAGCCTTTAAAGGGGTTAATACTGACTGCAGAAACTTGGTAGATGTTTGGCCCCAACGAAGGCCCACTCTTAAGGGCAGAGGATTAAATGAGGTCCAGAGCAGACCTGATCTTTCAGGGCCTCTGAATAAACAGAGTAGAAGTTCAAACTTGATCTAGAAACACGGTTCCTACTTTTTATCTCCTGGATCTTGGGTCAAGGTGGCAATGGGGGTGGAAGGAGAGGGAGTAGAGTGCCAGGACAATGCAGACATCTTCTTCTTCCCCTCAAACTTGCTTCGCCTTCCAATGATGTGCTAGCAGTAAATTCTCCCTGGTTCTGTGGCCCGCTTCAGGTGTGTGTACACGTGCATCTCTAGTTTTCTCTGCCCATTTACCAACCAGGGTATGGCTGAAGCTGTTTTTTTCCAGGAAAACCCTCGTAGTGCTAGACATGGTGCCATTTCCCCAGGTTCATGGAATAGCCCATGTCTGGTGCTTCTTAGAGGCCCCTGAGGCCCTGACTAGAAGGAAGTACCAGAGAGAAAGATGGAACCCCTGGAAGTATGGAGTCTTGTTTTGGGGAACTGATCCCATGAAATTAACCAAGAGGCCACTTGAAACCTATATAATATTGCTAACCATTGTCACCCCAATAAATTTAATTTAAAACAAAAATAAAACAGAACCCATTGGGGCTGTGGAATGTGCTGGGGATTAGAGCTTCTCATCCCAACTCATGCTCTGCCACAGATCTCAACACTTCTGTTTGCAACACTCTACATCCTCTGCCATATCGCCCTGACCCACTTCAAGAAGCCTGCTGAGTTCACCACAGGTACCTGTGACTTTCCTCCCTTCTGCCTGCCCTCTGCCAGTGTGTTCCCGTTGTCATGGGGCCAGCCTCAGGAGAATTGGGCCTCTGGTGCCTGCTGGGAAAAGAGAGGTGGCTGTCCTGAGACCTTTTCCTCTTCTGCCTCTTCTGCCTTTCTACCTCCACAGACAGGGACAAGGTGGTACAGTGGCAAGTCTAGATAGAAGTGTTCACAACCAATATAGCTGGTAGGCAAGTCCTGTAACTTTTCTGACCTTCAGTTTCATCCTCTACACGATGGGCCTAACAATCTCTACCTAGTCCATTGTTATTATGTGGACCAAATGAGATGGTTATTGTGAAAGCCCTCTGTGAACCTAAAGTGGGCAACGGCAGGGTGAATGTAATCATGGGCACAAACTCTGTCATCTCTCCTAGTGCTTCCACACCCAGGACCAGAGACCTCCCTGACCACTGGGGCCCCAGAACCTGGTGATGGTAGCATTTATCTTTATAGAGAACCTGAATGTGCTCAGATTGGAGCTTTCCTTCCTGTAGGCATTGTGTAACTGGCAGGGGGTGGGGGGGACACACACACTTGCCTCAGTTCCTATTCCCAACCTGTCCCGATCATCCTGTTCTGGCCCTAGCCTTTCCTCCTGTCTAGATGGCTTCATGAACCCCCACTCAAGAAGACAACTACCCCTCAGTGTAATTCTCCTGGAGACTTTCTCTGTGAATCTCCCCTCCCCCACACCCCACATTTCCCTTCGCTGCACCCAACCACTGATGTAACCAATCTCACAGAGCTTACAAAGAGGAACCTGTGATGAGAGAGATCATGGGAAGGGAGGGAACTGAAGGAGGTTCTGGCCCGTGCTCTCTCCACCTGGGACCACTGATCTTTAAGCTGCCATCTTGGCCAAAGAATACAAGTATGTCATGGAGTTCATAGCATGAGCTCTTCCAAGCCTCCTGTCCAGCTCTGCCGCTGTGGGTACAGGCCCTTCTCTCAGGGGGCAGGGAGGAGGCAGGGGGGCACACTGCAACACAGATGGTTCGCAGAGAGGCCCACTGATGTCCTGCCTTTTCCCCATGCCTCTGTCTCTTGTAGTGGATGATGAAGATGCCACAGTCAACAAGATTGCGTAAGTGTCTCCTGAGCACCTGGCACTAGTAGCCTTTAGAAGCTGAGATCTAGTGAGGCCCTGGAGCTGGGGAGGGCAGGAAGTGCGGTATCACAAAGTAAAGAGAACGTTTCTGCTTCCACCCCATTTCTGGCTTCTTCCAGCTTTACCCCACCCTGGGGATGCTTGGAAAAGCTGTTCTTCCTGTCTCTCTGGTTAGAGCAGGAGTTTCTGGGATCCTCATGGCCAGGAACTGTCAGCTGGGGCCTGAGTCACCATAAATGGCTGCAGCTTGGCTTCACCTCCCAGCAGTCATTGGGAAGGGGATAGGGTGGGATGAAGACTCTTAGAAACAGAGCAGGAGATGGGGAAGGTGGAACCCCTGAAGGAGGGGCATGCTTGGTTCTAAGAGGATGGGCCTTACTCCAGGCTGCTATTATTCACTAACAAGTATAGAGAAAACTACAGAGATGATCCCTCTGGGTCAACAGATTACAAGAAAGCAAACTTCCCTCCTTGATGGACCAAGTAGAGAAAAATGTCCCTTCTTTTCAGCCATTGCAGCCCAGGACATAGGTCTATAAACCTGGGTTTCCGCCCCCTTCCCCCGCTTTGCTTTAGTACCTTCATGCAGGGCATAGCCATGTGGGGTGACTCTGCTCTTATTTGTGCTGAAGAAAGCAAGCTCAGAAATCCACATCCCTGAGCAGAGAAGAGAAGCCAGGCACCTTAGCTTGGCATCATGCCTGATTCACCCTACAGGCATGCATGGGAGGATCACATTCCTGGGGACAGTCTGGGCAAGTGACATGGCAGGTGACCAGATTCCCATGAATGCCTGAGTTGTGCCTATCCTATGTGCCAAGGCTTCCCCTGGAAGTAAGGGCTAGAGTGGGAAGGGTGCGGGAGGGAGGGGCAGTGGACGGCTCCTTCCCTAGGTCTGTCACACTGCTACAGCCGGTTCTAGGAGAAACCACAAGTGCGAACAGGGCTTCATGGGCCGAGGGAAGTGTCTGAGCTAAGCAAGGGTACTACCCCTTCTCTGCCCAGGCTCGAGCTCTGCACCTTTACCCTGGCGGTTGCCCTGGGTGCTGTCCTGCTCCTGCCCTTCTCCATCATCAGCAATGAGGTGCTACTCTCACTGCCTCGGAACTACTACATCCAGTGGCTCAACGGCTCCCTCATCCATGGTGCGTGGCTCCTGGTTGCAGCTTGGGGTGATGATAGGGAGCACATAGGGTCAGGCAGACACAGACAGCTTTGGGCTCATCGGTCATAATCACCCCATTCCCCAGCTCCCCAACATCAGGTCAGTCCCCAGTGGGTTGGGCCCTCCCTTTCCTGACCACCTCTGCCTTTTTTTTTTTTTTTTTGTAAGTGGTTAGAAAGCAGTTTATAAGAAGAAAAAGTACCTTTCAAAGAAGTAGAAGCAGGCCTGAGCAGTAGAGCTCAGTAAAGTGTGGTTCAAGGGCCATTATCAGAAGAGAAAGTGCACTCCAAAGAGTTTGGAGTGGGCCCAGCAAAAGAAGCTCAAAAGGCCTGCCTTTCCTTTTTTTGCTGTAGGCCTCTGGAACCTCGTTTTTCTCTTCTCCAACCTGTCCCTTATCTTCCTCATGCCCTTTGCGTACTTCTTCACTGAGTCTGAGGGCTTTGCTGGATCCAGAAAGGTGAGTGGTGGTTACACCAATCAATCCAGATGGGAAATAGGATTCCATTCATATGATTCAAGTAAAGAGATTTGAGTGAAGAGACTATTTGCGGAGGTTTAGTCAGAGTTGAGAGGACCTACAAGGACTTTGAGGTGCTAATGACAGTGGGAAGTCATTACCACCCCTACACATGAGGAAGCAGAGGGAAGAAATAGCTTCTGGAACCTACTAATAGTTGAAGCTGGGGAGGTGGGGCCGCCCAGCAGAGGAGCTACTGGTCCTTTTCATTGGGCACACTGAACAGGAAACCAGAGGGCAAAAAGCTCATGTGACACAGATCTCAGGAGTCAGCCTCTCAGGATAAGTCAGGGGTGAGAAGGGATCTCGGGGTGGGGGTGGGGGATGCAAATAAAGAATATTTAGGATAAGGAACTGCCCCAGATTGTGGGGTAGGAGGACAGATTGATTTAGCAGAGTAAGCGGTAAACACACTCCCCTGTCTCCCAAATGCAGTCCTCTCTGGTTCCCTCAGCCAGGCTACCATCTCCCATGTTTCCTTACTTCCCCACACTGTCCTGATGTTGACTCTCCACCCCCCAGCCCCCTTCACCTATTGCCTTTTCCCGTAGGGTGTCCTGGGCCGGGTCTACGAGACGGTGGTGATGTTGATGCTCCTCACTCTGCTGGTGCTGGGTATGGTATGGGTGGCATCAGCCATTGTGGACAACAAGGCCAGCAGGGAGTCCCTCTATGGTGAGAGGGCCAGCTTCCTTCCCACCCTCCATGCTGAGTGGCTCTTCAGTTGGCTGATGTTCCCTTGCCTGGAACAACTGTATTCCTCTAAGGTTGGGATCATCTCCATTAGACTGAAATTTTGAAGTGATGGACTTCAGACCAAATCCAACCTGTACAAATGTTCCACTGGGCCCGTGGAATGATGTAAAAAAATATATGAGTCGGTTGCTAACATTAGTTAAAGTTGGGAGGTTTCACATTAATATCCAGATCTCTGGCTTTGCTTGACAAGGTTGAGGATCTGGCTACACTAGTCCCTGGTGACTAGAGCTGAATGGCAGTTGTGCCCTTTAGGTAGGGCTTAGGATCCCCGCAGTGTGCTCTAGTCCCTGCCACGCCCTCTTCTGCTGACACGCGTCAGCTTTCCTGAAGTGCATTACTTGCCTAAGCCCTGTGGGCTTTTGTGTTGTATCCTTGCATAGTTTCTGAGGCCTATCAGCCTCAGTAGGCAGGGAAGAGATGGGCTGACTTTACCTTTTTTTACCCTTAGACTTCTGGGAGTACTACCTTCCCTACCTCTACTCTTACATCTCCTTCCTTGGGGTCCTGCTGCTCCTGGGTGAGTGTTCAGGGTCTGGGAGGGAATAGGCAAGGTCCTTGGGCCAGAGCCACCAGGGTGGAAGGAGAAGGAATGGAGGGGGTGGGTAGGGGAAGTGGTGGAGAGAAAAGAGAAGGGCCTGGCAGGTGACTGGCTTCTGTCCCCACAGTGTGTACTCCGCTAGGTCTCGCCCGCATGTTCTCCGTCACTGGGAAGCTGCTGGTCAAGCCCCGGGTATGTAGTGCACCTTGCCCTCTGACCCTGTGGAGTGGGCTTCCTGCAAAGCTGAAGCCAAACAGTGAAGCCACCCTACGGTTGTGTATGGCACACGTTGCAGAGAGCCACAGCCTTAGTCGGCTCCTGTATCCTTCATCCCCATCATCTGTACCTGGTTACCAGACATACAAAGCAGAACACAAGGCAGTTGGGAGGGATGGATAAAGTTGCTGGCCACGGGTAGGGGAAGGAATGGGACTATGAAGCCGTGAGATGAACAGGGTGCTCTTGGGGCCCTTGGGATCTGGGAAACTCTAAAATTTAGTCCCTCCCTTTCCCCTGCTCCTAGCTGCTGGAAGACCTGGAGGAGCAACTGTACTGCTCTGCCTTTGAGGAAGCAGCTTTGACCCGCAGGATTTGTAGTGAGTTACAGTTCTTCCTAGCTGGGATGGTGGGCATGGCTTGGGCAGGGGCAGCACCATCTTCTCTGCCCTCAGATCCCACCTCTTGCTGGCTGCCTTTGGACATGGAGCTGCTGCACAGACAGGTCCTGACTCTGCAGGCACAGAGAGTTCTGCTGGGTATGTGGATTGATAGGGATTGGGATACCTGGGTTTCTCCAAGGAGAGTAGCCTCATTCTAGACTCTTGCTAACAGTTCCTATCCCTCCACAGAGAAGCGGCGGAAGGCTTCAGCCTGGCAGCGGAACCTGGGCTACCCCCTGGCCATGCTGTGTTTGCTGGTACTGACGGTGGGTATACCAGCCTTGGTGGGGGTGGAGAGTAGTAGGCCCTGAGTACTTCAGGCCTTCTCAGGGAAGAGGGAGGAGATGCAGGGACCTGGTTATCCTCAGTAATAGTTGCCTCTCACTGAGTGCCTACTCTGTGTCCTACCCTGTGCTGAGCACATCAATCCCCATTTTGTAGATGAAGAAACGGAGAAGTTAAGGAGTTTGCCCAAGGCCACACACGGCCGCTGCATAGTTAACGAAGGTTTGCTCTGGGGTAAAAATAAGGGTTGAAATACAGTCTTTCCCCCCACTTGTCAAAACCTGGACTTGAGAATAGGTCTTATTGCTCTGGAGGAAGAGAGCCATTTTTCTATTTGGGCTTTTTGCAATCCTTCCACCCGGAGAGGGTGCATCTTATAATACCCTCAAAGTTGCTCTGTTGCTAGCACCAGCCTTGAGGAGGCCCCACACAGCTAATTGGAAACTGAAAATGTTGGATCAGTGTATCTGCTCTTTTTTTTCTTTTTTAACTTTTTAAGAGTTTATTTGAGCCCAGAGTGTTTACACGTAACATTCAACTCTGGATACAGCTGTGGACTGGGGTAAGGATGGGATCTGTGACCTTGCCTCACACAGGGACTAGCTGTGCTCATTGTGGCCATCCACATCCTGGAGCTGCTCATCGATGAGGCTGCCATGCCCCGGGGCATGCAGGTACTGGGCTGCCCTCCCACCTTATCTTTTGGGGAGGGCCTAGGGAAGGCTGGGATAAGGGGACAGGAGCTGAGGCCGGAGGGAAGTCTAGGTGCTGGGTGGTACTGATGGTGGGTAGTGCTCCACAGTGACACTGCTCCATCTCTCAGGGTGCTTCCCTGGGCCAGGTCTCCTTCTCCAAGCTGGGGTCCTTTGGTGCCGTCATTCAAGTTGTACTCATCTTGTATCCTTCTGGAAACCCACCATTGGCATTATCCACTGAACCTATCTTCTCTGGGACTCTGGGAAGAGCTGTGGTGGGAGTGATGGGAAGGGGGCAATTGTTTACCAACATGGTATTGGTGGGTCCATTCCACTGGGGGAGAGGGGTCCATTCCCTTTGAGATGAGGCATTAATCCTTGGAAGCACGCCAGTTCTTCCCTAACCACAGTGGCAGTTACCTGATGGTATCCTCAGTCGTGGGATTCTACAGCTCTCCACTCTTCCGGGGCCTGCGGCCCAGATGGCATGACACAGCCATGACACAGGTAGCTGGACAGGAATAGAGGAAGCCTTCTGGGGGCATGCATGGGGACTAGGTGCTGGCAGCTCTGCTACCTTACCTCTCCTTTCCTTACTCCCACCCAGATAATCGGGAACTGTGTCTGTCTCCTGGTCCTAAGCTCAGCACTTCCTGTCTTCTCTCGAACTCTGGGTAAGTAGCAAAAAGAGGTAAAGGAACTGAGTATGTACTGATGGTAAGCAGGCACTTCATATACATGTTTTCCCTAATTGCCACAACAAACCTATCCCTCCTGTTTCTCAAAGAGGCTCTGTAAAATGCCTGTGCTGAGCTTCAGAGTAGTATTACTTCAAAGCTCATACTTACTCCATCCCACAGCCTCGCCATTTACTTCCATTTGGTGGAAAGGCACCAGTTTTCTGCAAATCTTCCTTTGGACTGGATTAGCTAATAAACATTCTCATTTTTAAAATGAGAAACAGAGAACTAATTGATTTTTACCCAGTTGTATAGCTAGTTTGAGGCTGTCTCCTAAACCTCAGCTGAGTACTTTTTCCGTACACTGGGGCATCTCCTATCTTTAGAGCTATGATCTAGAACTACCTGGTAAAAATGTTCAAAAGTGTAACTAGTTCACCCCAAGGTCATATGGGAATTGCATAGGTAATTCCCCCTCCACCACATTGTCACCCATATAACATAAATGATTTAGTGTTTAAATCAGTTCTATTTGGTCCTTAAGTTAATACTCTCTCCCCTATACCATTTGTACTTAAACCATGAGGATTTCATAGGAAACTAGGCTTGTAGGTCCACCAGTTAGTTCCTTTAGGTTGTATGCAGGTAGGAACACTTTTTCAAAATTTTTGATTTGTGATGATATTATATTATTAAGGGCTCAGTATGTGTTAGAAGAGTTCCTGGCACATATAATGCTTTATGTGTGCTGTCTTGCTTAATTTTCATAGTTTCATAATATTCTTTATAGTTGAGGAAACTGAGGCACAGATGTTTAAGAATTTGCCCCAGATCACAGTTAGTTGGGGTGGAGTTTGGATGTGAACCAAAGCAGCCTGATCAGAGTCAGAGCTCTTAGCCTCCACAAGGCTCTGTCTACTGAAAAAATACTTGATGACCAGCTTGTAGGTTCCTGACCCAGCGACAAGTGGCAGGCCCAGGGAGCTCTTCAGGACACCTGGAGCCAGAGGGGACCCCACTGGAGGAGAAGATGCCAAACTCTGGAAGGGAAGTTGGAGCAAGCTGCTGACACTTTCTTCAACAGCCCTTACTGCCCCTGAGACGGAGTTTAGGAGGTGGGAATAATTGAAGCATAGGAGAGGCCAGCCTATCAGTTACAGTGTTGAGATGTGGCCACCAGGAGGCAGCAGAAAGCTGGGTGCTGAGCCAGAGATGGGCTGGGGAGCCCACCTCACATCCTGGTCTTTGTACTTCAGGGCTCACTCGCTTTGACCTGCTGGGTGATTTTGGACGCTTCAACTGGCTGGGCAATTTCTACATCGTGTTCCTCTACAATGCAGCATTCACGGGCCTCACCACTCTCTGTCTGGTGAAGACCTTCACTGCAGCTGTGCGGGCAGAGCTGATCCGGGCCTTTGGTGAGAGGGAGTGGGGGATGCAGGCTGGTGGGGTGATTGTGACGTGGAGCCCTCTGGAACAGTGGCCATCCCAGCAAGGGAGATGGCATGCTGTCTGGCTGGTTTGTCACCTCCCTCATCCTCCCATTCTGTGGCCTTGTCTTATCCCAGAGGACTGGACCTATCTATGCCTTACTTTTGACTGCTCACCTCCCCTCTTCTCCAGGGCTAGACAGACTGCCATTGCCTGTCGCCGGTTTCCCCCGGGCATCTAGGAAGACCCAACACCAGTGACCTCCAGTTGGAGTTGGAAGGGAGAAAACTGGACACTGCTATCTGCTGCCCAGGCCTGGAGGACCACCTGGGCGGGGTGATGGACCTTAGGACCTGGAAAGGGTTGGTGGTAGAGGGGAGATGAGCCATCTGCGCTGTTGCATAACCTGAGCCAGAGTTTGGGACCAGGCCCCCCCCCCCTGCTTTTCCAGATTTAACTCTGAGACTCAGTATGGGGTGGGACTGGGTGACTGGGTCTGCCTCCTGGTCCCAAATCCGTTTACACATCAATCTGCCTCACTGCTGTTCTGGGCCATGCCCATAGCCATGTTTACATGATTTGATGTGCAATAGGGTGGGGTGGGGACAGGGGAGGGACTGAAAAGGGGCAGTTGGGAGGCAGATTGTCTCTGCCTCTGGCCCAGAAGAACCTAAGCACTGTGCTATCCTGGAGGGGTTTTGGACCACCGGAGAGACAAGGGCATGGGGAGGAAAGAGCCACAACCATCAGCAATAAAGTTGATCCCAAGGTTTGCTTTGGTTTTTTAAAGGGCCTGTCTCTGTGTCTATTAAAACAGCTTTGCTCCTACTAGTCCTGAGTCTACCAACTGAGCGAAACAGAGTGGTCCTGCCCACCATCCTTTTCCTTCCCCTCCATTCTCATTGCTAGTGACCTTTGGGCACTTGGGTCTGGTGTTAGGCCATACAATTAGGCAGTGGGAAGCTCCTCCCCCTTAGCCTTGTCTAAAGCTGACTGGTCCCAACTCTTCCTTATACTCAAGGCCTTATTTTGGTGCCTTAGTTACTGGGGGTAGGTGAGCATGGGCGTAGAAGTAGGATAATCTCCCCTGTACACACACATCCTCATCCCTATCCTCCCTGACTTGACTATTGGGTGTGGAATAACAGAAGTAGCTGACTGACAAGGGTTTGTGATCTACCTCAGAGAAGAACCTAACTCCGTCTTTCCAGAGGTTATCAGTGCCTTGAACACTATGCAAGCCCCTTGCTCTGTTGGGGTTAGGGGCAAAGTTTCTGCTCAGGCTTATGCAGATTGTGCATTGTACAACTTCTAGGGCCATTATTCATCTCATAGTCTTAGCTATAGTTACTACGACTATTTTCTTGTAAATTGTAGTCAGGTGTCTTAAGGGATTTTTTTTTTCCCTAAAGTACACAAAGTTGCTGTGCATGCTAGCCATGGAGCTGAGAGGTAAATATGGAATACCAAAAAAACAAAAAGAAAAAAAAAGTGTAGGTGCCACAAGTATTTGCTGAGCACCCTACTATAGGCCAAGCACTTTGCCATGGGAATACGATAAACAAGCTTGTGCTTAAGAAATGCTTTGTCTAGTAAGGGTGACAGGAATTCTAATACTGTACCACAATGGATGGCAGTTAATTACTGGCTCTCAAGGAAATAGAGGTGGGTAGTGTCAGGACATTAGAGAAGGCGTCTTAGAGAAAGTGATTTCTAAACAATAGTAGATTGGTGGGTGAAGTGTCCCGGGCTCAAAGCCTCTGAGATGAGATCTGAGTGGCTGGAAGCAGAGCTCCAGGGGGTCCAGAGAGGGTGAAGGTTAGAGAGGTGACTAGATGAGAGGTGAAAGGAAATTATCATTAGTTTGTTAGAGACTTAAGCACCCACAGCCCTCCAGCAACTTCCAATTGACAAGTTACTCTTTTGAAAAAAAAACAGCCATTGGGTATCTAGCCAGGACAAAAATGGGCCACATTTTGAAGCCCTAAACCTGATTCTGGGGGAAGCTCCCAGTAGAAGGCTGCAAAGCTACTAGGGAAAATGGTCTCCTGGTCCTGGTTACTACTGAGGAGGAGAGATGGAAATGGTGGAGGTTTGGGGAGGACCACAGAGAAGGGAGGCTCTGGCTATATGCCCGAAGAGCTTGGCTGGCCTTGGGCAGAAACTGGAACCCATACTTCCTGGTTGGTAGCAAAGGACATGGCCTGCCAGGGTAGGCTTTGAGAGAGCAAAGGTTCAATTCAAGTATCAGAGGAAGGTGGTTTGGAGCCCAGCTGAGACTTGGAGGTAGTAGAAGGATGCTTCTCCAGGCAACTGACGACTGTAAAGTTACTAGGTTTTCCCAGGCAGGTGACTGCCTGGTTTCCAGGATGGGACACACTTCAGTCAAGAACTGGACCGGCGGTGACCGGCTAGAGCCCCCGCCCTGGTGGGAGGGGGCGGGCCGGTCCTGGGTGAAGGGCGGGGGGCGGGGCCAGGGGCCACTTAAGGCGGAGCCCCAGCGTAGTGGCAGAGCCGGAGCCTGGCGGCAGAGCCAGGCTGGGCTGGCACCCACGACCCCCCTTCCCTGCTATGATGGCCCGTCAGTAGCAGGTTCCAGAACCCCCAAGGGCATGTAGGCAGAGCTAGCGGTAACCAGGTGCGCAGAGCCACAGGAGCTCTAGGGCACCCTGGGGCAGCTCTAGCTCTGCCTGCTGCGCTCTCTGGTGAAATGCCCAACTGACGGGCGAGCTGGTGAGGACAAGAACATTCCCTTTTGGCCCGAGTCTGCTGCATCCATGGCGCTGCCGGCCAGTCTGGTGCCCTTGTGCTGCTTGGTACTCTTGGCGCTGCCTGCCCAGAGCTGCGGCCCGGGCCGGGGTCCGGTTGGCCGGCGCCGCTACGTGCGTAAGCAGCTTGTGCCGCTGCTCTACAAGCAATTTGTGCCCAGCGTGCCGGAACGTACCCTGGGCGCCAGTGGGCCGGCGGAAGGGAGGGTGGCAAGGGGCTCAGAGCGCTTCAGGGATTTGGTGCCCAACTACAACCCCGACATCATCTTTAAGGATGAGGAGAACAGTGGCGCAGACCGCCTGATGACTGAGGTAAGGAGGACCTCTACCCACCTGTGCCAGGGCACTGCCAACTTCTCTGCTTTCCTATGGAAGCCCCAGAGGGTGAGCTGGGCGCTTCATCTATAGAGACCTTGATTTCAAAGACCTTACCCTTCTCCACACACACACACACACACACACACACACACACACACACACACACACACTCTTCTGCTGACTGGACTGAGTGATCAGGAGGGATCCGAACAGGGAGAGGCTGGGATGCGGAGGGGGAGGAGGGACTAGTGAGAGTGAAGCTGGAAGAGACAGCGAGGGCGGGGAAAGGGGGATGGCGGCAGGCGAGACGGGAAATGGCTGAGGCGTGGACCGGGGGTCAGCTACCGAGCCAGGCAGGAAGGGCTGGGGTGAGCTGGGGGCCAGGAGCTGGCTAGGCAGCAGACAGAAAGCTCTGCCCTTAGCCTGGCTCCTGACCTGACTGTGGAAAAGCTTGGTGAGCCAGAGATTGAAGGGGGCTGGGAAAGGGTGGCCAAGGGTCAGGTCATCAGGCCATCTACCTGAGGAAGGGCTGGACAGGAATTGTCTCTGGCATGGAGGAGGCATCCTGGAGCCAGGGAAAGGCTATTATTCTAGAGTCTAAATTACTATCTTGGGGTGTGGAAAGCAGTCCTGACTGAGAAGAAGAGACAGGCCCACCTGAGAATCAAAGGGTTACTCCATCCATCAAGCTCAGTTTAGCTCAGGGGCTTTCCTTGGAATTAAAGAATTAAAATAAATTCAACTACCATGTATTGAGCATCTGCTGCAGTCCAGAACCTAACCAACCTAGAGTGAGGTGAGTAATGCCTTGTATGAGAAGGACCACCTCTGGCCAGTGATCTCAAATGTCAGAACTGAAAGGAAACTTGGAGGTCATATTCTTCAACCCCTCCCTACCCCCTATTTTACAGTGAGAACTGGGCCCCAGAAGGAAAAATGATTTAATCAAAGCCTTAAAACTAATTAGTGGCATGGCTGGGACTAGAATTCAGAACTCCTGATTCTAAGTCTTATACACTTTCCATTACACCACCTAATTGTGTATGGAATGGGGTGGTGGAGGGAGAGGGAGGGGTACGGATTTCCTCTGATTAATTGCCATAGTTTTCCAGGTTACTTTGTTAGGAAAACCTGTCCAGTGGAGAAAAAATTCCTTCTTGCTCCTGCCCTGAAGCCTTCCTCCTATCCAGGGATTGGGAAGGGGACACTCCTTTCCTCGTTGGTCGTGGGATATGATGGTCCTTTCCTTGGGCTGCCACCTATAGCAGAGGGGGCAGAACAAGGGACAGGCCCAGGAAGGTCTCTGACAGGCCTGGGAACCCCCTCGGTCCTTCTTATCTCCCACACCCTGGCTGCAAAAGGCCTCCATTGAGTTGGCTCTGCACTGCGCTGCTGCCCCCGCAGGTCAAGGCCTCAAGGCCTCCTATGGGGACAAAACGACAAAAAGTTGGAAGGAGTTACCACTTTTTCTGTCTTTCCCCTTCCCTTCTCTCCAATCCTGCGGAGATGTATAAGACTAGGGAAGAAGGGCAGGGGGAAAGGGTCCCTCTGGCAGTTGGGAGAAACCAAGTCCGAGGTGAGAGGTCGGAGAAGGGGAAGAAAAGGAAGCTGTCCTCTCCGCGCCTCCTCCCGCTTTGCCCGTGCTATGGTGCGCGCCAAGGTCTCCGGCTCCCAGACTAGAACGGCCGAGATAACCGTGGTCTCACTCCCTCGGGTGCAGGCTTCCAGCCGCTGCAGCTTTTCCTCCTCTCCACTCCCACCCTGCAGGGGGCCCCCCAGATCCGCGCAAGGGCAGCGCCGGTTATTCTCAGGTGTTACTCCCACGCCTTTCTAGGCTGCATCTGGACCAGAGATGGAGAGATGGGTCTCTCAGAGCTGGCAGAGCCTGAGCTGGAACGGAGGGCTGGCCGAGCTGGGGGGAGGGGACCGGCAGGCCAGAGCAGGGATGGGGGGCGCGGCTTTCTGCCCTTTCCTCTCCCTGAGCCGGGGTGGCTGAAAAGCGCCTTTGTGGATGGAGCTGCTGAGTCCGCTTCTCCCGGCGCGTCCCCGGCCTCGGCCCGGGATTCTCGCTCGGTTAAGTCATCCCGGAGAATGGCCATTGTACTTCGCGCAGCCCCCGCCACCCCAACCCTTTTTCCAGCAGTCTTGATCCCGCATGCCTCCTCTTGGTCACCTCTGTGGGGGGCATTCGCACCATGAAAGGGTTAATGCTAGGGGCTGAAAGGAGGAGGAGGAAGGAAGGAAGGAAGGAAGGAAGCAGTGCCCGGTGCCAGGGAAGGCAACGAAACAAAAGATGAATCAGGCGGAGGGAGGGCAGCCGGGGCTTGGGGCGGGGGCCAGGCTCAAAATAGGGGCTCCTCTCGGGGAGCCAGGCTGCTCAACCCCTCCTTTACCAAACTTCTTCCACCAGCCATCTCAACTGTTGCTCTCTCCCAGGTTGAACTGAGGTCCCAGAACGAGTAGGGGTGAGGGACGGGAATGAAAAATGGGGGAATGAGCCAGGTATAGGTGCCCTCTCAACCTAAGAGGTAACCCCACAGTTCTCCAGCGATGCTCTGGAAAAAGAGTGCACATTGGCGACTACACCTATGCAGATTCTCACTTCCCCAGGACACTCAAAAAGCCAGGAGGGAGTGGAGTGGGGACGGGAAAACAGAAAAATTGACCCTCCGGTCCAGGTCCCTTTTTGCCCCCATGCTGGTGGTGGTGGTAGTGAGGAGACTGACTTTTTTATTTCCCGCCAGCGTTGTAAGGAGCGGGTGAACGCACTGGCCATTGCTGTGATGAACATGTGGCCTGGAGTGCGCCTACGGGTGACCGAGGGCTGGGACGAGGACGGCCACCATGCTCAGGACTCACTCCACTACGAAGGCCGTGCCTTGGACATCACGACGTCCGACCGCGACCGCAATAAGTATGGGTTGCTGGCACGCCTGGCAGTGGAAGCCGGCTTCGACTGGGTCTACTACGAGTCCCGCAACCACGTCCACGTGTCGGTCAAAGCCGGTACAGTAGGGGGTGGGTGGTGAGGTCTGCCCAAAGGGGCTCTCTTGGGGAAACTGAGGCAGCACATCCCTGTTGCGACTGTAGGGGAGATTCAGATGGGCGTTAGTGTTGTAAACCACCCTTCTATTTCTGCCCAGGTTGGGGCCAGATCTGTGGGAAATCGCAGTTGTCCCGGGAAATGGTGAGGTCTGCGCTGGGCTTGACCCACATCTTTAAGAATCTGTACTAATACCGCGGGTCTTCATCCAATCCTCTCTATGCTTGTTCTCTGCAGATAACTCACTGGCGGTCAGGGCGGGCGGCTGCTTTCCGGGAAATGCCACTGTGCGTCTATGGAGCGGCGAGCGGAAAGGGCTTCGGGAACTGCATCGAGGGGACTGGGTGCTGGCGGCAGACGCTGCAGGCCGGGTGGTGCCCACGCCCGTGCTGCTCTTCCTGGACCGGGACTTGCAGCGGCGGGCTTCTTTCGTGGCTGTGGAGACCGAGCGGCCCCCGCGCAAGCTGTTGCTCACGCCCTGGCACCTGGTGTTCGCTGCTCGAGGGCCAGCGCCGGCGCCTGGAGACTTTGCACCGGTGTTCGCGCGCCGGCTGCGCGCGGGGGACTCGGTGCTGGCGCCCGGCGGGGACGCGCTGAGGCCGGCGCGCGTGGCCCGCGTAGCGCGGGAGGAAGCCGTGGGCGTGTTCGCGCCGCTCACGGCGCACGGGACACTGCTGGTCAATGACGTCCTGGCCTCATGCTACGCGGTTTTGGAGAGTCACCAGTGGGCGCACCGCGCCTTTGCTCCATTGCGCCTACTGCACGCGCTGGGCGCGCTGCTTCCGGGCGGGGCGGTCCAACCGACCGGCATGCATTGGTACTCCCGGTTCCTCTATCGCTTGGCGGAGGAGCTGCTGGGCTGAGCGCTCTAGGCGTAGACACCTCCAGGCGCCCGCCGAAACGGGGGTGTGGAGGCTGAGATCTGCGGCTGTGGGCAGCAGATGTTGCTGATTGGGAGGGAGGGACGCGGAGAAAAATGAAGGCGGGACTGCCAGGTTTAGGGGCAACCTCCAACTGAGAGGAGGTGGTCCCGGGTCCTAGGTAGGTGGGGTTGATATTGGGTATTCCTTGATGAGGACTATTTCACCTCTTCTTCCCCAGTGCCTCAGCCCCACCCGATAATCTTATTTTATTTTCTATTTATAAATCGTAATATAATGATTTGCTTGCCCAGCTTGGCAAGATGAGGGGCTGGGACACTGTCTGACACAGCCAGCCAATCTGATGCCTGACATTTACCTGCAGGTGGGTTAATAAAGGGAAGGCTTCTGGGAGCTTATTGGAAAATATTTCTATTTTGAGGGTGATTCACCTCCAGAGTGGAGAGAAAGGGGACACAGTCTGAGACAATACCTTACACCCATCGCCTCTCCCCTTCCCCAGCAGATCTCTGCCCCCCCCATCCCCACCCCCCTTGCTTCCACCCCTCAGAGGAGGCGTTCTAATCGATCAGCGAGAGTCCAAAAAAGTCGTGCCCTTTTCTAAGCTGCTGGCCCCTTCTCCCACCCAGAGAGGACAACATTCTGCTCCCTATGGTTGCGTGCGTACCAGCTGTTGCAGGGGCCAGGGTTGTCCAAGGAGTGAGAGGGCATATGCATGTCTTTTCTCAGGCTCAGGCCATTGTGGGTACTAATACTCAAAGATTTCTGGCCCCCTATTGTCAGCCTGCCGTCCTGGTCTCACCCCCAAGGCCATCAATCAGCCTAGTCCCCATCCTACCATCATGTCAGGGTCTGGATGGGGCTGATGTTTTTTGTTGCTGTTGTTTTCTGGGCTGTCACTGGACCAACTGTGACCCGTGGCAGACCATAGCTAAGTCATAACTGATAGTCCCCACACATTCTTGGTCAAGAGAAAGAACTTGGACAGAAGGCTGGAACCTATTCCTCCTAAAGGGCTGCTCCTGGAGAACCACTTCAGCCCTGTGTATGGGGGAAATAGGCTCTCCAAGCAAGGGCATATAGGTGTTATAACCCAAGGGCCCTTCCTGATTGCTGTCTTGGTTGTTGTTTCTACCGGGTCTTCCCTCTTCCATTATTGCCGGTTCTGCTTCCCTGGCCTGGGAGTTTCTGGAGCCTTTGGCTTCCAACACAGCAGACACCTGAAGTCCAGGCGGACAGATGCCTTGGAGTTAGGAATGGAAGCCCTAAGGAAATTGGACTGCTCAGGAAGGAGAGTGTCTAGAGCCTGGGGGATGGTCAGATGTTGACGGTACCACCTGGACTCTGCCCTTCCCTGTAGCGGCTGTTTTCCCAGGAGCTGGGTTCCTGCTATATACCGCCCTCTGGTGGTCTTCAGGATCAGTTCCCTTCTAGACCAAAGGAAAGAGAGCTGTGCACAGTTGGCCCTTGAATGACGCGGGCGTTAGAAGAGCCTACCATTCCCAAAGTCGGAAACCTGCGTATAAATAACTACTACTGAACTACAGGAGTGGGTGGACTGGACCTGCGGCAAAGGAGCCTTCTTGAAGGAGGTGAGAGGTGGTGCTTGGGGCTTGTTAAGTTGCAGGAGCTGAGCCACAGGTGTCAGGGCCAGGTGAGGAGCCCACCTTTGGGAAAGCCCTGCCAAACTATGGCATGTATGCATGTCTAGTGCCTGATTTAGCTCTGTGGCTCCTGGAGGCCACTATAGGCTACAACTCCTATAGTTGTAGCCTATAGCAGTCCAGACTACTGGGCACATCCGAGTTGCCCCTTCATCTCCTTCACCTTTGTGACCCTTGAGTTCAGTGTCTGGAGGTGAAAGCATACTTAGGATTCCAGGTAGTGCTTGATAAAGACAACATTTCAAAGCGGACTAAGTTTACCTTTAGTGTCCTTCCACCCACCAGGTCCCTCAATCTACACCAGGTGCCTATAGTCGTCTCAGAAATGCACTCCAAGCTGTGGCTCTTTCCTACTTTGTTTCTAAACCTGCCCTTGTCACCCTCTTATCAGACACTGATGCCCTCCAGTCATGTCACTTCAAGTGATGACTAATCTGATAAACTAACTAGTCTTCCTATGTTAATGAGGTCCTTGTTTTTTCTATCCTTCCCAGGTAATGGTATATCTTACTTAGTGGCCTGCTAAAAATAAGCTCTTAAGCCATAAAACCATAATGGCGCTGATTTCTATCACCTTAATAAGTTAGGCAGGAAGATATTTGGGGACAAGGGGAACTAATTAGTTTTCCTTAAACTGTTTATATTCTTGTCAGCCCAGGCCTGAGGCTCACCTCTCTCTCACACACACCCCCTGCTTCTATACCTCATTATCCTTGTCCTCTGGAGGCCCTCCCAGCTTCCTAAAAAAGTTTATCACCTGCCTGCAAGCAAGTAGCAAAGAGCACCATTTCCATGAAGCTGACCAGGAGGGCATATTCACTTGGCCACACAGCATCTCCAATTGCAACACCTCTTCTGTCAACAAAATAGGCAATGAGGACTGGGGAAAGGGCGTGGCTTGAAAGTCAGGCTGATCTGGAGATGATGATGCCGCTTGACAGGAGGTATCATTGTATGTGCCCAGTGTGGAGCAGAAACTCAGTAAATGTGCTCTGTGCTCTGCATTCACCTCTCACTACCTTTGCTGCTTTCTGCTGCCTGTCTGCCTCTCTCCTTACCACTCCTCTAGGAGCACTACCAATGATCCTCAATCTTTTTTGAGGGGTTATGTTGCCCCAATTGTTTAATTTCATAACACTCCTTTCCTTGAAGGTGCTGTGTGACGCATTTGGGTTTGTTTTAGAACTAAAGTATAATTTAAAGCACTCTTGAAAATTTGCAGAGCATTTTGTGATAGTCCTGGCAAGACCTCTGCATACTGGGAAGCCAGAGTTGAGAACCACTGCTTCAAGGTTCAGGTGACCTTTTCATTGCCCAGAATTCAGACCTTTCCCCACGCCCCCCCTTCCCTGTCACCCTCTCCCCCGCCCCCTCGCCCTGTTTAGGCAGGATTTACTGAATGTCTACAGTATAGCACAGTGTGAGGCACTGAAAAACACACAAAAGGTTAGGAAACAGCTTCTTTCTCTGGAGAAGCAGATATAAAAGTATAAAAGATGGTTAACTACCACAGCAACATTGTACTTAAGCAGGATGAGTTGAATGGGCAGTAAATGTCATAGTAGTACAGAGAAGGCCTTGTGGAGAAAGTAGGGCCTGAATAGGATGTTGAGGCATTTGTAGGTGGAGGAGAACAGAAAGGGCATTCCAGGCAGAAGTAACAACATGAGCAAGGACTTGGAATCTATATAGGATGAACTTGTGCAAGCTGGTTAGAGTGGGAGATGGGGAAGGGTAACTATATGTAGTTAATGTTTCCTGAGAATTATGACATGCCAGGCCCTGTTCTAGCACTTTACACGCATTCTCATTTAATCCTCACAATAACCCTACGAGATGGTATTACAGATAAGGAAACTGAAGCAGAGAGGTTTAAGTCACTTGCCCAAGTTACCACAGCCAGTATGTGGTGGAACTGGAGAGTAGGAATAACAAGAAATAAGACCCCGCCTTGATGTATTGGGCCACATCCTATGCGACTTAAGCTGTTTTTTACTCTTCCTCATTTCCTTTCTTAAGCCACTAATAAGTCCCAGGTTTCTGACAGCAATTTCTCTCTCATTTTCATTGGCTCTTCTTCCTCCTGCCTGGATGGCTAGCTTCCCTAACTAAAGCTACCTAGCCCCTGATTAAGGAAATATATACATAGGTACAGGTTTCTGGTGGGAATACATGCAGACTAGTACACCAACACAGAAAGCATAAGAAGACTCTCAGCTTTTTTTGGATTAAAGGAGAAGGGGGTTGAGCTTTGTTATGGACTGAATGTATGTGTCCTCTCAAAATTCATATGTTGAAGCTCAAATGCATATGTGGCTGTATTTGATGATGGGGCCTCTAAGGAAGTAATTAAGGTCAAATGAAGTTATAAAACTGGGGCTCTGATCTGATCAGATTAGCGTCCTTATAAGAAGAGCTTACTTTCTCTCTCTTCACATGAACCAAGGAAAGAACATCGAGGACAATAGTGAGAAGGCCAGGAAAAAAGCTCTCACCAGAAACCAAATTGGCCAGAACCTTGATCTTGGACTTTCCTAGCCTCCAAAACTGTGAGAAAATAAAGGTTTGATGTCTAAGCCACCCAGTCTATGGTGTTTTGTTATGACAGCCCTAGCAGACTAACACAAGCTTCCAGAAATGTTGGAAGTAAGGAGAGGCTAGTGCTAAGACAGGGTCTTAGTGAAAACAATCAACTCTACTTCAGTAATGAGCCTTTCTGACGTACAGCCTTGACATGTTTTCTCCTGACTGCTTTTGTGGTCCCTGCTGTATTGAAGGGAGCCTTCTTCTCTGGCTGCGAGGCTGAAGAAGTTGTCTATAGAAAGAAGGTGATGGCTGGTCAGGATAGTTGCCTGTGGGGGATTTTGTGGCTAATTAGCACATTCAAACCCTTCCCTCTGTACTATTGTCTCTATATGTGACTTGGTTGATGTATAGAAATGAACCTCTCCCACGACAGAAGTGTTATCACCAATAAAGTTTTGCTGGGCACCTACGCCATACCAAGTATTGTAGTGTGTCATGGGGATAGGACAGTAAAGTCGAACATGGCTCTTACAGTTCATCTGGTAAGACAGGCATAAGTGGTTGGAAGGTTGTTGAGTGTGGTGAAAGAAATGAGAAGGGATATTTAAGTTGAGACCTGAAAGATGTGTGTGAGTTGTTCAAGCAGAAGGAACAGCGTGTGCAAAGGCTTAGAGTTGGGGAGCAAGAGTGAGATGAATCTAAGGAGTATCCACACATTCAGCATAGCGAGAGGGAGATACGATCCACTTCAAGGGTTTTCAATTTTATCCTAAAGAAGAAAGCAATTGTAGGATTGGAAGCAGGTGAGGAGGAAAAAAAAATCAAACTTGCATTTTAAAAAGGAAATTGGCAATTGGGCGGGCTTTTTGGGTTGTCTTTATCTCTAAGTAAGTTGGTCCTCATCCGAGCACATGAGTTTCACTAGCTCTGATCACAAGTAGGAAATGCCCCTATCCCAACAGAAAGTGTTATGGGAACAGATGGTGGGGAGCAGTATAGGGAAACTGGAGCAGGACAGGAGAAGATAGGAGTAGAATTGAAGATTGTCAGGGTAAGAAACGTCCAAACCTGTAGAGAATTTTTATAAGAGTTTGTTTCAGCCAAACTGATGATATATGCTGGGGAGCAAGATCTTAAATGCTCAGGAGAATAACAATTTTGCAGCTTCTTTTGTGCAGTTGAAATTAAGGAGGGAACATAAGGAAAATTGCATGAA